TTGGCACATGTTCCAGGGTCAGACAGATTCAGACTCATCAGATGAGGAGGAGGAGGAGGGGTCCTGGAAATTGACCCCCTCAGACATTGCGATTGGAAAAGCAGAAGGGCTCATCTGAAGGCCACCCTCTCCAAATGTTCAGTGAACTCTGAAAATAGCCAGGATCTACAACTGCCAGGAAGGGGCATGGGACAGGAGTTCCAGGAGCCAGATGAACCTGATATGACTCTTGATTCCATGACACGATACTGGGAGAGAATGGCTAACCAATTAGAGGGGCAGCGTCCAGAGAAGAGGCTTGCCCACCTCCTGAGGGGAGGGACTCAGGCTTACTCAGAAAGAGGCTTCTCAGACATTAAACAATAAATCAGTATTCAACACGATACTGTAAAATGTATGCCACTGATAAAACAAATGCATTTCATTGCCTTGTAGTTTCTTTTCATTTTTTGGTACTTAGGAGAATTGGATATCTGAACCATGAATTTCCTGTGCTTCTAAAAACAGTTTTGAAAACATTCAGTTTGGTCATCAAAGTATTCTGTAGCCTCAATGTCTTTTCCTTGAGTGCTTCTTGCTTTGTATAATTATTTCCTATTATTGGATGAAATTCATACCACCAACCCTGACCCATATTGGCCTCCTTTGATCTGTTTTCAAAGACCTTTGTTCCCAGTTCCTCCTTCCAAAATTTTTCAGTTCTAGGTCAGTGTAGGTTCAGATTAAATTTTAAGCGTAGCATATAAGCAAAAGTCTATGTGTAGGCAGGCCATAATATAATTTAAATACTCAGATCTTAGTTTAATTTTAGAATTTTAAGTTTAAACCTTACACACTGAAGTAAACCTGTAGTAAGTCAATTCCTTGCATTTCCAAAGGGGTCATGCTGTTTATATCCTCTCCTTAATCGCAACTGAATTTTTCTTTCCCTGGATAGAAATTACCATTCCTAGGGATATGACTTCCCTTTAAATTTCTGTTTGCAAGATTCTGGTACATACAGACAAGTTAAACACATGTGCAAAGATAGAAACTAGAATTTGCCAGTGGTTGAGTGTGTATGTTTTGTGCAGGAATTCATAGTTCTCAGAATGGATGGCCTGGAAAAACTTTGAGGTTGTGAGCTTTGTGAGTGAACCCTTGGGAACATGAGAGCAGTGTTCTATTCCCAGGTGACAGGATGTATTATTATTATTATATTTTTGGTTGAATAATATATAACCTCTGGGTCATTGAAAGTTCAGGTAAAATTTACATAGTGAACTGAATAGGACATTTCATAAGACCTGATGTATCATATCTATTCAACAATAAATATTTATAAACATGAATTGTGAGTTATCCTAACTGATCAGTCTCAGTGAGTGTTTTGAATATTGGACAGGAATATAAGCTGTAAATGCTGCAGGGCAAAACCTAGATTCTAACAAATGTTGCAGTTGTACAGTCAGTTGCCTTTATGTTTTCCCTCCCCTCCCCTCCCCTCCTCTCTTGGAGTATACCCCTTTCCCCCAAAAAACCCCTAAAACAATAAAAACCCAAGTCCTGCCAGTGGTTAGCAAACATTTTAAATTTTTAATGCATTATATGCACAAATAGTTCATTTTATGCTTTTTGTTTAAATAGCTTCATTTGTGCAATTGCACAAGACTGAAATTGTGCAAGTGCAGAAATCTGTAGCCTGACTTGGACAATGTTGTTATCAGCGCTGAACATTGGCCCAAAGAGGCTCCAGATAGCTCCTCCTCACTTTCTCTAGAAAGGTGCTAGAAGGGAAGCTTACAAGTGAAAGTGTTTACACAGGTAATTTTTACCTGAGAAAAGGGAGTGATTAAATTTATAACCCCTTCATGATAAGACCCTCATTTTTATTTTCCTGATGTTCCTCAGTGCAATGCATATTTTGTATTTTTCTCCCTACAGTCATGGTAGTGAAAGTGAAACAAATAAGTAATGTCATGACATCCTCCGAGGATACCCTTGATCGCAGAAAGGGCAAGGGATGGTGTGAACAACCCACAATGAGCACAGTTATGTCAGGCATACTGTGGATTGTTCACTGAACAACCAACCCACTATGGGTTATTGCCTGTGTGGATTGTCCTGATATGCAGAAGCATTCTATACAGTGGTACTTCGGTTCACGAACGCCTCAGTTCACGACCAAATCGGGTCGCAAACAGAAATTTCAGAAAAATTTTCCCTCAAACTCCGCATCGAGTGACGGTCACAATTGCACCCATCTTCCCTGCACGGTCGTGCTCGGGGGGAAGATGGCAGTGATCATCCTTGGGGCAGGGAAGATGGCCGTGATTGCACTCATGCAGGGAAGACAGGCACGATTGTGGTTGTGCCCAGGGTGGGGATGGCCACAATCTTTGTTGTTCTTTGTCACTTTGTTTCAATTTTTGTGATTTAAAAAAATGGTTACAGAACTGATTAACCTTATTTACATTGAACCTTATGGGTAAATTTGACTTGGCTCACAACCAGTTTGGGAACAGATTAAGTTTGTGAGCCAGGGTACCACTGTATTTGCAGTCTTTGACTACCCATAAGGCTGACTGTAGCCCACCAACCTTGTATTGCCAGCCATGAGCTTATTTAAGTAACTATTTGCACACCTGGCATTGTAAGTACGGAAGCCAAAATACTTACGGATTTTTTGAATACTTAGTGATGTAGAAATACTGCAGATAATAAAAATATATCACAAAATGCAGGGAATGAGAAGCAAATTGATTTGAAAATTAAAAGAGATGCTTTAGATACAAACCTGTTCAGAGAATAATAGTTCTGCAGTTTTCTCTCTTTGCTGTTACACTTCTCCCTTTTAAACTCACATTCATTATATGCAGCAAATACCTATTCAGAATGCCAGACATGCTGAAAAATGTGTGTTACTGAAAAACATTCAAGGTGCTTCTGGAAAGAAGTAATAGACTTAGTGTAGAGACTCTGCTTTTTCACTGAATTTTTAAAGGAGTTTGTTCTATTGGAGTTTGTGCAATAGAATGATCAGTAGGATGCATGCATAAGAAGGCAAATATCCTTGCCTAGGCCACACCTTTAGCAAAATTACCTTTACAGTATTCAAATCCTAAAATAATTAAAATAATGAATTTGAAATATTAGCAATTATTCCTATATAGCAATAGAGAAAATAGGAATATGCTATTTCAGAAAAGTATAAAGGTAGTCTTGGAATACAGACATATACAACAAACCTGGCACTAGCATTTATGGTTTTAAGTCTCTTGCACAATGGTTTATGGCGTAAGTAAAATGTCTCAAGGTGTTTTAAACAGTGGAGAAAGTACATGAAAGGGAAAAGTGTGGGAGAAGAGTCTCCTGCCCCCTGCTAAGGTAAACATTACCCTTGTGGTTTTCATATTACTGCAGCAGTGTTGGCTGCTTTCTCAAAGCTTATACTTGTCTTCTGCTGTGCACATAAATGATATTTTCTAGCTGAATAGTTGAAGGTAGTGAGAACACCCCACAAAATGTATAATAAAATTTAACATTGAAGAATAATATTATTCCAGTCAGATTAATTTTGTAACCCATACATTGTTCTCTTCTAGTATGTTTTCTTTTTATAAAACTCAACCTTTGTTCTGTGACATCTTTGTGCAACCAAGACCCTGTTCCTTGACTAATGGCTATCTTGACTTAGGGGGTTATCCTATGCAAGTTAAACAAAAAGGCATATAACTCCCAGAATAGCACCCTTTCATGAACCAGTGCTATTCCAGTAAGATTGCTATCCTGTTGTCTAATCTGGCACCTTTTCAGAAAGGAATTAGGTAAATGGCAGGTAAGAAAATCCATCAGAAAATAACTGGAAAGATAAAATAGACAAGACTTAAGAGACATATTTGGACAACTAGGTGCCTTTGCCAGCAAGTATGTATGTAATGTTGACTTACATACTCTCAAACACAGTATTTTCTAGTGGAATCAATTCACACATTCACCTTTCAAAAACTAAACATTGGCTAAGTACAAGTATGCAATTCTGGAAGCAAGTACCTGATAAAATTACTATCTACTGCACAGGGAGTTTCAAAATATATTATAAAATGTAATTGTCTGTCCTTTGCTGTATTCTTTCCTTTAAATGAGGGAACATGATAAGGAGAGCAAAATGGGCAGGATATGACTGTATGTAGTCTTTTGCTAGAGCTGTCTTGCCACATATGCATTTCAATTTAAAGTAACATTAATGCAGTCTCTAGAGGAGAAACTGAGACGTTAATAAGGTTTTCTGCACAGAAAATTGACCTTTGGGAAATCACAGCTTTCATTTACTTTTGAATTTAATTTTTAATATTTTGAATCATGACTATCCCATTTGTGTCGGTCATCCAACATCAAAAGTCATATGCCTATGCCTGAATTACAACTTCATGATTAACCACAGGAAATATTATTTATTCATGAATAATCTGTTACATATTTTACAGTGCTTTAATAATTGTTGGGACTTTCACTTGATACTAAAGATTTCTCTTGACTTTAAATATATGCCAGTAAACAAACTATACATCTTAAATATGAAGATAACAAATTAGAAAGCAAATCATACATTGGTATTCTATGTTATCTAAGATTGTCATTCTCATTCTTTATTCTCATTCATTATTCATTTTCATTTTCTCATTGCGAAAAAAAAATTAAGAAGACTTCTGGCATCTAAAGACTAAGCAGTTTTATTGTGGCCTAAGATTTTGTGGACTAGAGCTTTACTCCAAAATAATTTTGTAAGTCTTGTGGTGCCACAGGACTCTCTTGCTCTTTACTATAGTATGCAGCCTGCCACTTGGGAATTTGCAAACAAAAATGCTTTCTGGTTTTTGAAAATAGGCGATTTGGGGAGGGGAGAGATGGAACATGTGCAGTTGAATTTGAAACGCTCATCTCTCTTGAGTCATAGCCAAAAAATTGCGGATTCAAAGATTTCTAAATGAGATAGTTAATGTGTTTATTTTTTTTACTAGGTACTTCCATTCCCAAGCCAAGTGGTATACAATAGGGTTGGAAAATGTGGGAGTCGAACTGTGGTTTTGCTGTTAAGAATTCTGTCTGAGAGACATGGATTCAACTTGGTTACATCAGACATTCATAATAAAACCAGACTTACCAAGAATGAACAGGTATGTTGTTTGTTGCCTTTTATATGTTATTGTTCAGCTTTGATTTGGTTACACAGAACAGTATAATTTAAATCTGCCTGTATCTTAAGATCTGCAGTTAAAGCGGAATTGCTTATGAATACGATCATTTTTGAAAACATTTAACAGTGTTACAGTACATTATTTTGTTAAAAGTTTAAAGAATGCTTTATGTATATTGTTTTTGTCAAATGTCCATTCTGGCCAATGTTCTAGCAAATAAAATAGACCTGTGCTTGAAAAGAGAAACAAGTCCTATAGATGTTTTTATCAATGTTGAAAGAGGCCTTTTTTTTTTTTTTTTTGCAGTTTTGTGGAGGGTTACGACAAAAGAAATAAACATTGAATTTTTCAGAAAGCATTGCCTCTAATAGATCCACATTCTTGACTTGGCTGGTGGCACACCTATGACCAGGCCAGAAACTTGCCCTCTGCCTAAATCAGTTTCCTTTATTTTTGGTGGTGTGACCACATACCTAAAGTTGGCTTCATAGCATTGCTATATCATTGCATTTTTGGATATTTGTTTGGATCACTCTTGAAGGAAGGAATACCTAACCAAGGAGGAAAATAGCACTGAAGCAACAGCAGATTGGAAGATCCATAGCAGAAATAGGCACAGGAATGACAAATACTTTCATTGTTTTTCTGGGAAATACTTCTGACTTCAAACTATGATATTCTGCCCTGAAAACCAAAATAGCTAAATATTTAAATCAAATCAGCCTCAAAATGAAACATGAACCTTGCCAGTGCAAGATATTGGTGCTTGATTTAAGATCAAAGCTGTTGCTACATGCTACAAGGATCAATGAAATCCTGTGGCTAGTAGTCATTCAAAAAATTAATTGGAAGCAATTTGCAGTAAATGGCTGAAGAACTGTCAGATCAAATCAAGTATAATAAAGCATTTAGGATAATAAATACAGTGGGCTTACACAAAATGGACCTTTGGGCAGACAGTAGTGAATAGATGAGAGAACAGAAGAGAAGAGCAGTGAGGAATGGGAGAATCAAGCAAAGCAAGTGGGTTTATATACAAGGACTGTTAATACATGTTTGTATTTATAAGGGAAACCCACTAATTGTTACCATCAGTAGGAAGAAATGTTAGGAAGCTTCTAGCAGACCCCAAACCTGGATAGTAACTTCTCAGGCAGGGTGCCACACTATCTATCATAGCCAAGGAAATCATTAGAGTTAATCACTGAACTTTAATGCTTTAATGTTAAAATAATTGAAATACACATCATCATCATCATCATCATCATCATCATGTATTTCCAATTAAATTCAAAGCCACATACAAATTATTATCATGTATTTCAAATTTATTTCAAAGCCACATGTCAAATTGAGGCCACTGTGTATTTTTAGTCTGCTATTTATTAGGGACCTTCAGATTTTAAAAGTATTGTTGAATATGAAAAATATTACTATGCAATGAAACATTGGGAAAACGTTTTAAGAGAGCTGCTTGGATTCTAATTTACCTCTAGATTTTATCAGGGAGAAACAAAGTTTTCTTTTTCATCTAAAAATAAAGAAGTAGTGATCTGGCAATCTTAAATGTTAAGTGTTGAGACAAGTGATTGTACTTCAAATAGATTATAGTTTATTTGGATAAAGCTGTAGTCTATTTTAAGTAAACTTTCCTGTTGTGAGTCATTTCTGTGCGCCACCAGGTGGAATTTTTCTGAAAATGCAGTCCAGTTATACTGAACTAGCGTTTCTGATTGGCAACTTGCAGAATGATTTAAAGAGACAAGAGTTGGCTTAGTCTGTAATCCTGCATGCACTTAAAGTATGTGCCACAGAACAGTGTAACTTACTTCTGAATTGTCCTCTCTGTATGCTGTCACCATTATTTCACGATTTCAAGCTTTTGTAATGTAAAAATAAACACCTATCTAGCTCATTCAGAGATTTTCACTGCACTGGGTAAAGATAGGATAGGGCATTTAAGGGAATTTAAACAAAGTGAAAGACTCTAGCATTTGTAAAATCTTTAGTGTGCACAGAGATCTCTCCTTAATAAAAGCTACTTCTGCAAATATTAATTCCCTGCAGAAATATGATAATGTACCCCAAGATCCCTTCTGACCCTGTAAAAGTTTCTGAGATGCACATATAGGGAGTAGAGGATCAGCATGAAAATGAGAATTTGGGCCAACCTAGGAAACTGTTTAATGTACCTGAGCCAATACTAAACTACCATACTTTGGGTTCAGTTCAGTTTTTCCACTGGTAGAGACTTACTTATTGCAGAATTTCACTCAGAATGTGCCCAGTGGAAGTGTTTATGTGAGGTAATCTATTTTCACTTATTTCCTCACCCATTTGCAGACCCAAGTCCTACCTTCTTCTGTCCCTCCAGAGTGGATTGGGACCAGGCTAGAATATTGCTGTGGCTGGGTTCCACAGAGATGATCACCAAGTCTAGTCTTAGTGTTTAGTGAGTCTGGTTTGGACAAATCAGAGCTGGGATTCTAAGACATGTGAACAATCAGTGGTTCACATCTGTCAGAACAAGGACAGAGTTTCAAGATGAATAGCATGGGGAAGATCCCAGAAGGTGAGGTCTGCCAGAGCCCAGGTCAAATATATAGTAAGCAAAGCAACAAGGGGATAACACCATGGAGAGCTCCAAGTGAGGCTTAGCTGGAAGTCTGTATCTTGCACAGACCCAGATCTGGCAGACTCGGACTAGGCTTCCTAGAAATTGCTAGTGCCTCCCAAACACAGGATGAGTACTTCTCTCCTAACAGGGTGTGCTTGCTTTGAAAGCTTTTGACTGTCATGGCATGAGGGCAGCTCCATGTGGTAATAGCTTTGGAATCAGAGGCCTTGCTATATTAGGATGGCAACGATACCTCCTCTGAAGCAGGGAGTCTGGCCCCAGGTGCTCTTCTCTTGAAGAATGCTTTTGAGCCCACATCTTCTGTGATCTGAGAGGTTTATATTAGAGGGTTTTCCTTGTGAGGAGGGAGAATCAAAACCCTAAATCATAGCAGAGACAGAATCTGGATCAAATCCTATATCCTTTTGCTGTTGTTCATCTAGATGACTACAGCATTAAGATCTAGATGGAAAAAGCCACATCAAGCTAAAAGATTGCATCCCCCACCCTTGTTGCCACACAAACAGTGTATCTTTTGCCAGCAGTATTTTTAAAGAGCTTTTGCCTTTGGTTGGTGAGAAATGAGTCGTGTAGCTTATTTAAAATGAAATTGAAACTGATTATCTTGTCTTTCTCCTGTTGAGCTGTTTGAGGCAAGGCAAGTTAAGAGGGGGCTATTGGTGATCAAGCTGGTTGGTCATTGTTTCTACTAGCTGATAATTATTACCCTCTAATAATGACCTCTACTTAACTAATATTTATTATTTATCTTATGTATTTGAAACATACTGCCTCTGCTAATGGGTAGAATATGTAGCTATTTTGACCATTAGCCATTGGTCTCTTTGACCATGAATTTATCTACTCTCCCTTTAAAGCAATCAGAGTTGGTGACCATCACTATATTTTGTGTTAGAGAATTCCACAGTTTAACTATATGCTGTGAAGAAGCCATTCCCAGGACTGTAGTCTTGTCCTCTAAACATTGCTTAGAAATGCCTTTGATAGCAACTGGTAATAAAGATTAAATGTATGTATATGAAAGAAGGAGGAAAATAATCAGGAATCAGACCTGCAAAAATTCCTGGAATTCTTTAAAGAACACTTTAAAAAGTATAAGGCATTGCTGCATAATATATAGCAACCTCTTTTTAACCAGTGATTTTGCATAATAAAATGTTAATATTTAATAAGGCAAAGCTAAGCAGACAACACTTGCTTAAATGACTTAAAGTGAATATTAAGTCTGAGTTTGATATTTGAAACCAGGTTTTGAAAAAGTATCTTCTTGGAAGCACAGCATTAACTTTGAAATAATTGGAAATGATGTGTTAACTGTGATCACTCAGGATCTAATTCACTGCTACACACTGCTGATACTATGTAAATAAAGTTGTGTATATCACCTTGTGCGGTTTTTACAAGAATGAATATGAAAATAATTAAATATAGGAAATGTAATCTTTTTTGAGAAAGCACTGCATATACTTACTTGGCTGCAATACTGGTTGAATTCTTTTTGTTTTTTGTTTTTTTTAATGTTGAAACAGGCAAACAGGGGATGACCAACAAAAGGAAAAAAGGATCTATTGCCTCAGTGATTTAGTCTACTCAGAATTTTTTAACTGATTACTGCTGTTAACCTTTTAAATATATTTTGTCTTTTCTTCTTTTTTGGGGAGTGGAGAGAGTAGGGGCAAGAATGTACACACATGTTTGGCAGCTGGGTGTATACACTGGGCAGAATAGAGGCCAGAGAATGGACCTTCTCTTCTGCCACACCAGTGTAATATGTCCATTCTATATCCCTCCCCGTTATTACTAAATTTTAGTGCTTTGCATTTCATGGATCAATTCCTAACGGAAGCACATGTCTTCTGAGGGCTTCTGTATGAAGACTTCACTTTAGCAATGTTAATATCAATTCTGTGTACTTTTGTTTTTTAGATGGAGTTGATTAAAAATATAAGCACTGCAGAACAGCCTTATTTATTCACTAGACACGTTCATTTCCTCAATTTTTCAAGGTAAGGTAGTACCTAACTTTATTTTTATGATATCTTGAAGGTAAAATTCATTTATAGAATCTTTTCAATTTAGTGTATGGTTCTTCAATATGGGTGTGAATGGCAGAACTTTGCAGGCAGGGCCAAATATGTGGCAATTGCTGTGTCAGGCTCTTCTGTGCCTTCCCTTAGCCTGGCTTGACAGGAAAGATCCATTTGGTTGGTTCTACTTGCATGTTCTCGGCTTAAAACTCAACATTAAGAAAACTAAGATCGTGGATCTGTTCCTATCACTTCCTGGCAAATAGACAGGGAAGAAATGGAGGTAGTGGCAGATTTTATTTTCTTGGACTCCAAGATCACTGCAGACAATGACTGCAACCAAGAAATTACAAGACACTTGCTCATTGGGAGGAAAGCTATGGCAAATTTAGACAGCATACTAAAAAGCAGAGACATCATCCTCCCAACAAAAGTTCATATAGTCAAAACTATGGTTTTCCCAGATGCAATGCATGGCTGTGAAAGTTGGACCATAAGGAAGGCTGAGCACCAAAGAATGTACGTTTTTGAATTGTGGTGTTGGAGAAGACTCCTGCGAGTCCCTTGGACTGCAAAGAGATCAAACCAGTCAATCTTAAAGGAAATCAACCTGGACTATTCTTTAGAAAGTCAGATACTGAAGATGAAACTAAAATACTTTGGTAGCTAATGAGAATGAAGTACTCACTGGAGAAGACCCTAATCCTGGGAACAATTGGTGGCAAAAGGAGAAGGGAACGGCAGAGGATGAGGTGGCTAGATGGAGTCACTGGGGCAGGGGGTGTGAGCTTGGATGGACTTCGAGGAATGGTGGAGGACAGGAGATCCTGGAGGAATGTTGTCCATGGGGTCATGATGGGTTGGGCATGATTTTGTTACTAAACAACAAACAACTTGCATGTTCTGGTATATTCCAGACATATGAGATTGCACCATGGGGAAATGGCTGTCTAAAATATGTAGGGATACTCCATTCTACCCAGCTCCTTTCCCCCTGCAAGTTGGTTATGGACAGGCAGGGAAATTTTGGGAGTAGTGGTACTTTTTTGGTCTAAACATGCATATGATTGTGCCATAAGTGTAAATGTTCCCTCAGGTTATAGCACTGGAAAGTGAGGGGTTCCTTCATTTTGCTGGAATTCTTAAATGGTTGGTCTTAAAAAATGCTATCCACTTTAAAATCAAAGAGAAACAAACTTTCTCAGCTCAGAATATATATCTGTATTATTTCTTCAAAGTAACTTGCATCAAATTGTTTTTAGCTACAGCTGATAGGGTGTAAAAATATGCAACCTTTCACTGTTGCTTTTTCATTTTGTTCATTTTACATCTTTGCTTTTCCAGAAGCAGCTCAGAAGTTCATTTTGTCATACAGTGTTCACATTGCAGTATTTCTCATTCTTCTTTGACGTTTTACCCATTCATATCATTTGAGCTTTCAAACTGCAATTTTCTTTGAGTGCACTGTTTTGTTTAGGAAAAAATGAATGAATCATACAAAATAGAAACCTCCAAACTATCTGTTTTACCCTTTAAAATGGGGAGAGCAACCCTTTAAGTCCTAGACATCATATGAGGGATGGCATGGGATACTTCAGATTCCCAGATCCAAGGTCAGACATAGCTGCAAACTTGGAGCTGGGATTGTGTGCTCTGATTTCCATCCTCCCCCTCCAAAGTCAGTGTGGAAAGAACCATAGTGGCTCCTCCCCAGTGACAGGAAACCAACCTCAAGAAAAGGTAAAGGGAACATTGTGACACTTTGTATAATATAAACAAAAAACCTCATTTCCAAAAAATAAAAAATAAACAAAAAAATTCTGTTCCAAAAACATAAACAAAAAACTTCCTTTCCAATGAAACTTACAAATTTGGACCATGGAAAAATAAGAGGATAGAGCAGAAGGCCAGACAAGAAAGCCCAGGAGACCCCTTCTGACTTGCTATATTTCTATGTGCAAGCAAAGCTAGTTGAAAGTGAAGTTTCTGGGTTGGTGGGAGATTCCATAGGTGAAAGAATAGTTGTGTTTACTTCTAAATGCTAAATTCCTCATACCGAGATATAACTCAACAAAAGAATATTGCTTATAAGTATTTAGTAATTTCATCCTGAATTCTGCTGTTCTCCTTTGAATTACTAATAATTCTTGTACCTAGGGAAGGTGTTGGTAATTCAGTGTCTATTTATATTTTAGAAACACTGAGCTGATAGTGTGAAAGAACAAAGAGGTATGCACTGGAATTGGCTCTTAATATCTCTAGCAAAATTTTAACAGAAGATTTTTTAATATTGAAAGTTAGAAAAGCAAAAAATTAAACAACTAAAATATGTTTTAAAAGTTACAGTGAGTAAAAATGGATTTTCCTTGCGAAGCTCAAATAACCAAGGGAGAGAGACAAGAAAAGATAGTATCTCAGTATATCGTTTAAAGATTTAGAAATACTTGTACTCAATTGGCAAAATATTTTTATATTACAGGGAAACTATGTCAGATATTTAAACTTCTCCATATTCCTTTTCTTGATTGTGAGTGTATATCTGACTAAAGCATCAGTCAAAATGTTGGGAAGGGGAAGCAACTGGGGTAAAGTTTATGTATGTTTAAGCTTTAGAAAGATGGAAAGACACTGAAGTCTAGCTCTCAAATTCCTCCAGCTGCTTAAATGTTATTAAAGGATTTTGATACTTTGGAAGGGGAAAAGAAATGCAATACATTCTTTTTAGCTTAAGCAATTGCTTTAGTTACCATGTTATGCAAATGTAAACAGGAAAAGGGTGGAGGTGCCTACAATACAATCTGCATGTGTCATGATGTATACCCTGTAAAGATGTTGAGTGCTTCTGATCTCATTGCTAACTCTGAATGAAATTCTGTTCTCCTTGATGCCAGGGGGAGGTTTGCCACTGACTATATGCTACAGCCAGATCTGCCTTCTGTTGCAACAGTCCTTTCCACCATCAGCTAATCTTGCATATTGCATTTATCCAACAAAGATTTAGGTATTGTATTCCTCAAAGGTCAGCTGACACTAAATATATACATCTTTTTAAAATATTTCCCAGTGCCAAGCCTATTGGGCCTTTAAGTGCATAGTTAACTTAATGTGGTACAACTGAAGAAAAAGTACACCGTTTTCATTCCTCCTTATGCCCTCATAGAAGATAGGATGCAAGTAAGAGGGGACTAGGTGACATTTGGCAAAGCAACCTTTGGAGATCCACTTGTTTGCCTGTAGTCCATTCTGTTTTTATCTGCCAGAAGTGTTCCAAACAGCCTAGGAGGTTGAGGCACAATTTTTGACAATGTAGTAGAATTATGCTACACTGGGGGAATAGATGAAAAGTTAAAATGGGAGCTGACACAGATACTCAGTGCTGCTTGAACTATTGGGCTGGACAAAAAATACAAAGGGCAGGTATTGTGACCAAAGTGCTGAGACTGGAATTCCAAATTCTTGGCCAGTTCTCAGAGAGGATGAGCTTTACAGGAAAAAAAGAACAAATTTTCCCCTTCTTTCCTTCTTCCTCCTTCACACATTAACCCCCACACATCTCTATCCACCTCTTTTAGTCCTCTTCAACATTAGCATAGAAACCTGCCATCTAGCCATTGAGAAGGAGTTCCTTTCACCTTGCCCAGATCACAACATTTCTGTGCTGCAACGTTAAGAGGAGGTTTTGTTCCATCTCAAGCAGCACAGAAACTCGAATCTAGACATGGGAAAACTAGAGATTGCCCTCCTCTGTGTCCATATTGCTTGCTTCCTTATTCATTCACATACCTTTCATACATTCACGTCCTTTGCAGAATCCTTACCTCATTTTCATCTGTTTTCAGAGATGTGTACTGTCTAGTTATATTTTGTACAGCTAATACTCTAAATCTCAAACATGTTTCTAGCTTATGCTGTGTTTTCTTCTTACTTAATCAAAATATTGAATATTTGTGGAATTTGTACTGAATATTGTTATTGTAGGTTTTGAAGTTAGAGCTCCAAGACTATTGTTCAGTTTGCAATTAGACTCCTAGTGATGTAGGTTTCCCAATCCCATGGAAGAGCCTCCGTATTTAGAGCCCCTTTCATGTGTCATGCTGAATGAACAGAATTTGAGGATGGGAAGGCCATGTGCACAATCCACATTCTCTCTGTGTATATTTTTGAAGATTAGAGGAACTTTTTGCTTCCTTTTTCATCCAAGTGGCTCTTTTGTTTATGTACTGTCAATTCATCTGTGACTTATGGTGACCCTATGAACGAATGCCCTCTCCTTGACATCCCTGATCAACTCCTGCGAACTCAAGGCCATTGCTTCCTTTACGGAATCGAGTCATCTCATATTTAGTCCTCCTCTTCTTCTGCCTTTGACTTTTTGTAGCATGTTAGTCTTCACCTGCCCACATTGCCCATTGTACAATAGCTTTAATTTTGTTATCTTTTGCTTCCAGGAAAGTTCTGGCTTTATTTGATCTAGGATCCAGTTTTTCATTTTTCTGTCAGTATTGCAAAGCTCTCCTCCAGCAGCATGTTTTAATCACATCAGTTTGCTTCCTGTCAGCTTTCTTCACTGTCAAGCTTTCACACCCATACATTGTGGTTAGGAATACAACAGTGTAGATGATCTTGGCTTTACTTTCCCATGAAACATCCTTACACTTGATGATCATGTTTAGCTCCTGAATTGCTGGCCTTCCAAGTTTGCTTCCATAGCATACAGAATGCAGCAGAAATGTTTTTGAAGGCTGACATGGCAACTAAAACTCTAGCAGTTAAACGCTGGAAGCAGTAGAGAACAGGTAAGACTTACCCTTTCTGAAGGTTTAAAGAAGGTGATCAGACATTCTAAGCATGTTGGATGTAGTTTGAACTTAACATTTATTGTCTTCAAGTTGAGGAAGGCAAATGCATTTTCAGACTTCTTTCATACTTAAAATGCTTGTCCTTGCCCAGGTGTTGTTGCATTAGGAACTCATTTCATA